GCTCCACCATTAGCCTTTCACCTCCTGCTTCTACATGTCCATTTGTAAATGATCATGCAGCAGCCCTACACCACTAGGAGTGTGACACGATTTCTGTCATAACCAACGCCCTCTTCACATTTGCACTCATTAATCATTTCTCAATTGGTAGTAGCATTGTACAGACCTGCTGGCTTTTGTTTGCAGATTTGTTGACATTTTCCTTTATACTACAGACTTAGTTTTTCTTTACTGTTTATTTAAATTTTCACATTTTGGTATTGTGAAAGGTTGCTTTTTCAACTTCTTACTTTTTTCATTTTTAACTAGTTTATTGTAGATCCCACTCTGTGGTAAGTGGTGCCTAACCAGGTATACTTTTTATTTTTGAAAATTTGCACTGTCCATCTTGTGACCATGCTCAATGTCAATTACATTGTAGCCCTTCCTATCATGGACCTGATGTATAATTCCAGATCCTGCAAGGTGTTGGTTGTGTGTCTCTATTCTGTTGTCATCTATGCTTAAACTATTACAGAGCTGAGGTGTTCCTTAGGACTGCTAGTAGTTCTCTCTAGTTGTTTTTTTTTTTTGGTGTCATAAATGTGTTCATGGACTAACATGAGTAAAGCAGACAGAGATTGCTGCCCATCTCTGATGTTCAGTGGCATTGAGACTCTTCCTACCATGGACCTGATGTATAATTCCAGATGGCACCAGGTTTTGTTTGATTGATTCCATCATTGTGGTAGCTCTGCTTTTCAGAATAGGGTATTGTGGTCACCTGTTGCACAATCTCCAGTGATGCAGTCCTCTGAACTCTCCAACAAGTTTTTCCCTCCTTTCTTCTAGGGGAGTATGGGAGTCCTTACCACATACCAGTTCCTAGCTGCTATGATGGTGGATCATGGAGGTCTGTCCTTCTGAATGATGAATCATACTACTTAGTTGAGAGTAGGGCGGTGGCATTCTGCGGGTGTTGATGGTGTGTAGCAAATCCTACTGCAGACCTGATGTACAATGCCAGATGCTGCCAGGTTTTAGTTGTAGCATTATACAGTATTATTGTCTATATATCTGACCGATTGCTTTTTTCCTGCTATAGCATTCCTCCTCTTTACCATCCTACGGAGGTACATTCCAAGTGGGTCTGGTGTTGGTTGGAGATGGCCCGGTTACAATTAGAATCATGTGTCGATGAGATGGTGCCCTTCCTACCACGGACCTAATGTGCAATTCCAGATGCTGCCAGGTTTTGGTTGAAGCACTCTGCCATGTCATGAATATATATATCTATTATGCAGTTTGCCCCTCGGGCTGAAATGTTCCTCCTATCTACGATCTTCAAGATGTACATTTCCAGTTGGTCCAGCTAAGTAAGTCCTCACATGTATGCTGGCTGGTATCCCTCCTCCTACCATGGATTGGATGACAAATGCTCATTGCTGTCAGGTTTGGGACTGGAAATACACCTTAGGTTTGCAGTCCCTCTTCCTACCATCTGCTGGATGTCAGTTCCCATTGGATCTGGTGTTGGTTGTAGTTGGAGGCAGCACATGTTTTCCCACTTGTGCACGGCCAAGTATTCTCCTTCTACTAAGCGATGGTTGTACCATACCCATTGCCACCAGGTTTTGGACCGGAGATGTCATCCTGATGGAGCTTTCCACCTGCCTACCATCGGTTCTTGGCAGATCTGGTGATGTAAATGTGCACAAGTGAAGACAGATTTTTTTTTATATGGAAGCTCGTCTTCCTACCAATTTCTGTTTCGAGGTGAAGAGGTAGGTAGATGATGTGATGTACCACTTCAGATACTGCCTGATGTTGGATGAGGTGGAACTACCACTACGGTCTGTCACATCTTAGCCACTCGGCACCCAGAGGTTCCATTCATCGGTCATACATATTCTGGGATTCCTTCATGTTTTTCTGCCTTTTATGTTCATCACACAGTCATAAAGAGTGAAAAGTATACCTGGATCAGATGTGTTGCGGTCTCTTGCTGTGATGTGGTGTTTTCTCTTTTGGTTCCACACCTTCTGGTCTATCTTTGGGTGCTTCCTAAAGGGGGATAATTTTTTTCACAGGCCCTCAACCAGTTCAATGTAGAATTCTAGCTATTATGTCAGATGAGGTAAGATATCATAACAGAAGTTAGCATTTTCATATACTGAAAATGTATTTCCGATAGATTCTTACATCCATTCACATTTCCCACCCCACTACTCCACTTTTGTTGAAATATGGTGTAGGTATTCTGACCACTCTCGAAACAATTAACGAATGCAAATGTGAATAAGGTGCTGGTTACGATAGGAGTTTATTTGCACTCCTATTGGTGGAGAGCTGCTGCAGGATCATTTACATGCAGATATGTAGAAGTGGAAGGCTTGTGGCAGAGCATTGAAAATTTGTGCAAATAGAGAGCAGTACTAATTGAGAAAAGCTATTTTTTGAGAGGAGGTAAGTATCTATCGGAAATATATTTTCGGTGTAGAAAAATGCTAGCTTTTGGAGCTTCACCACATTCTTACAGTCCTTGTTGCCACATCCATGCATCTTGATAATAGCCCAGTAGTGTAGTTTTTATTGCAAAAGGCTCATTTGTGAATCTGTCCTAATCAATGTGTACCCTTTCTCCCATGGGGCTTTCCATATATCTAGTGTACAAGGGCAACAGTTTCCCATTGCTTGTTTCACCAGTCTGATTGTGCATAAATCCATAGGTGTTGCATCTGGCAAGTTGACCTGTATTTATTTATATGAAATAGCATGAATATCCATTTGATTTTATAGTTGCATGAGGTATGTGAAAGTTGAAATGTGTTGTAGAAGCAACTTATGTACACGTAACTTGTGTTGCTTCTCCAGTCAGAGATCCTTCTTGGTTCTGTTACTTACTGTTGCCTGGGCCATATAGTCAGCTTTTGCCACTGACCTGTGTGTTTGTTACAAAAAGCTACACTTTGCTTATCACAGCTATGGTACAACTTGTTGCAGGTTTTTTTCTATATGGTCTTGGGACCCCAAGTTGATCCATATTCCTTTGTTTCTCAGTGCTAGTAAGTGCAAAGCTATATCCCCATCTTGGAAATTCAAAATCTATTATCTTAGTATTTTGTATTGGAAAGGACTATTACATACCCTTCCAAAAATCAATCAGATTTTGGCAGCATCAAACTATCTATGAAATGCCAAACAATATAAAAATATAGGTCTAATACACATAGTTCCACTACAACTTTATATCAGCTGTTGTTTTCATGTGCTTACTGATTTGCATATTCAATATCATTTTAATTTAATGCACTTAAACCTCCATATAGTGTTTGCATGTAATAGTAACAGCTACATATAAAATATATATTAATTATATTTAAAATAAATTAAAAATTACTAATAATGTTTTGTTTTCAGATTACAGTGGCATTGTAATGAGAAAATATTTCTTTAAAACTTATTTTTCATTTAGATTGTATACTTTTTACTACCTTGTTAGCTCTTAAAGATTTATATTTTGGTGCTAATTGTAGGAAAAACTCTCTCACAGAATACCTAACAATTAATATGAAAAAAATTAGTGTTAACTTGATTTTCTTGTAGCTAAAGATGTTTAAGATACTTGTAAAAGTTGTAATTTACTTATGAATATTGTATCAAGAGTTCATAAAATTCAAACTTGAAAATCTTTCAAAATTTTTTATTGATATGTATTCAATGGAATGATTCAGAAATGAACCAATACTTGAGAAATTTTTTGACCCGTGTTAGTTTGCTGAAATGCCTTAAATATTTTACTCATCTTCCTGTATTTTGATCTAGCTGTTGTAGGAAAAATAAACAAATATTCAAAGTGTTTGCAGTTAATTATGCATTAATAAATTAGTGGTTAAACCAGTAATTCTGTGAACCGTTTAACGGTAAAGAAGACATAATTATGATCAAATGCAATTTGTAAAGAATTATGGGTCAGGAAAAACCTGGAGTCAGTGAATTTTATGTTTTGCATTACCAGCCCAGGAAACTTAAGGGAATTTTATTTTGCAAACAATAACAGGGAAAAGTCGATGAATTTCATGTGACTTTGAGATTATTCTAGGCCACAGATGGCAAAAGATAAATTATTATCTGTGTCAGAAAATTGCATGCAAGTTAATTATGGCACATTTAGGAGATCAATATTTGTATTTTATACACAAACATTGTTTTATTGACATCAGTCGTCTTGCTTACCGTTAAATGTCATGCAATATGAAGGCAGCCATAATAGATTACATAAACAGTATCTAGGTTCCTACCTAAACAAAGTGTGAGGGCTATGGAAAAGGTTTCATTCCATCTTTCTAAACTAGAATATGGAGGATCATTTTACTACAGCATAAAAGCCCTTAACAACTTGCTATTTAGAGATAGTTTATTTTCATTAATTAAATTATTTAATGTTAAAAATTTTAGTGCATTAATAAAACAGTCCCTGTGTCAGTAGTCTTATAAGGAGCATGTGTATCAAAAGTTGAAATATAATAATACTATTGTTAAAACCTATAGGTTTGTTTACATTGTAATAATGTTTTATAATTTGAATTAATATTAAAAAGTGTGATTGGTATACATTATTATAAACAAATGGATAAGCTGCCTTGGTTTTGTATGTTTTGATAAAGTATCAACAATTCAAGAACAGCATGACCAGTCATACCGAAACTTTGCAGGATGACGTTTTAAGGCAAACTGTGACTCTTAATGCACAGCCTATCATTTCTTTATTAAACAATATGTGAACAAGGTTTTGTAGTTTCCCATTTTACGTAATAGTTAAATAGTACATTACAAGCACAGATCAAATGGTCAGGGAATAAAATTTTGGTTAGAGAAAAGTCTGGGAATTTTATTTTATCAAAAAGATGAAGAAACCATGATTAATACAATATGTTTTCCTAATTTTGGTTTGAATTTATGTACAGGTAATATGAACCTTGAAGTTGTTGGGTTCTGTAAAATCTTTCTTCCACACTCAGGATGAAGAGCCAGCATCTGGTGTGATTTGTTAGCTGATAACACTAGTTATTGGTAAACTGGAATCTTTTGTTATGTACTAATGTGCTATGGAAGCTAGCAATGGAGAACATACTATTGACACCATCATGATGTGTCTGCCCCATAGTGTTGGGGAACCATCACTGGTCAGTGGAACATTTGAAGCCCAGAAGTTGAAAGCAGAACCCCAGGTAGAAAAATATATCTAATATAAAATGCAAGTTTAGTTATTTTGTTTTTACTAATAGCATATTTCATAAAAATTTACTCTGTATCATTACCAACTAAGAGTTATTTCTACATGGAGTGATGTAAAACTGTTAAAAAAAACTATACAGTATGTTAAAAAATGAATATAACATATAAAAGTATGCCAATTATTTGTTGATATTTGGCAGTTTCTTAGCTTACAACAAAGTGTTTTGTTAACTCTTAGTCCATAAAATTCCATATGTTAGGAAGTACGGTAGGACCATAAAGTTTTAGACAGGACATAATATATTTCAAACTAATACAGTATACTTCTATTTAAAAGATGGTTCATCTTAAGCCATTTGTTTAAAGTGAACACTTAATTGAATACACCTATGGATATACAATACATTACTTCCCTCCCCATAAAATACTTGCTCTCAACTATCGGTTTAAGGTGTCTAGATCATTTTGCCCCTGGGTATACAGTGCTGTTGATCTTTCCACACAATGTTTTGATCTCAGATTGTTGACTTAAGAGGAATAGAACATTTTGTTCCTGGGAATACAGTGCTGTTGATTTTTCCACACAATGTTTTGATCTCAGATTGTTGACTTAAGAGGAATAGAACATTTTGTTCCTGGGTATACAGTGCTGTTGATCTTTCCACACAATGTTTTGATCTCAGATTGTTGACTTAGAGGAATAGAACATTTTGTTCCTGGGTATACAGTGCTGTTGATCTTTCCACACAATGATTTGATCTCATCTCGTTGTTTTAAGACAAGTAGAACATTTTGTCCCTGGGTATACTGTGCTAATGATCTTTCCACACAATGTTTTTGATCTCAGATTGTTGGCTTCTGGGCATTGCATATTATTACTTCTCTTTTAACAGTGTTAACTGAATTTCAGGGATGATTAAAAAAAAGTCACAAATTAACTTTTAGAGATGGGTTTTGAAGACAACAATTCTCTAGCACCTGAACATCTTGGTTCTCACCACCCTTTATTATCTTCCCCTGCTAACCTCTGACCAAAAAGCTTGGGAATGTTTTAATGATGTCATAAACTACTGAGTTTAATCATCAAATTTCACAGGTAACTTTCTTGTGACTAAAAAAACCTTTAGATTTTTGAAGTGAAAAGGTTTAGGTCCAGTTTCAAGAAATAGGAATTCTGTTTCTGTGCAAAAGAAACATACCCATAAAATATATACATACTAACACATAAGCATACCCATTAAATATATACATACTGACATATAAACATACCCATTAAATATATACATACTGACATATAAACATACCCATTAAATATATACATACTGACAT